TCGGGGTCCGGTATGTCGTCCAGTTCCACAGCTCTTTGGAGAAATGGTACGTGCTCTTCTGGTCCCAGCAACAGCTGGATAGTCTGCCACGTTACAAATCCTTGCTTCTTCAAGGCCGGTATCGTTGGGCTCGAATACCCGTCGTCGTCCGCTGCGGGTTGCAAACTGTGGTATGCGCCCAGCGAGCGGTAGATGAATGCAATCGAAGACGGCGGCGTGTCCGTAAACAGGACATCGTAGTCGCCGCCAACACTGCGGTACCAAGCTGCGATTTGCGACGGCGTCAGATCAGGCGAGTCGCTGGGTTCAAACTTCTTGCTCTGCGATGACAAGCATCAGTACCCATCCGTCCCAACAACGTCGAGCTAGCGAGCCGCCTCAGAATACTTACAATAACCTCTGCAATGCCTCTGAGCAGACCATCGAGTTTGCGCGTCCCACATTTGTCGTCTTGAAAAAGGTAGCCCCAGTAGTCGTATGCTTCGCGATGCGCCGCGTTGGCATTTGCCGTGTTTGCGGCATGCTCTTCCTGTTGCGTAGGTTCTGTGGCCATGCTGGGGAAAGGTGGAAATAGCAGCTATCAATGATTTCAAGCATATGCGCGTATGTATGTATGTAGTAGCGCCTCGGCTCAATCTTCGGAGCTGGTGCTGATCCAAGGTGGTGCGGTCGGTGAACCCCGCTGTCGTGCGACGCAATAATGCAGACGTAAGTATGTATGGAACGTGACGGCATCCGGAAGCTGCTGCTGCTCCTGCTGCTTATATCAAAAGAAATCCGTCGGCGCTATCAGCAGGCACAATGGCGCGTCGACTGCGCCTCTGCGCCGCACGAGAACTGCTCCCAAGGTTCGCATGTGTTGGGCTGGCGGCCTGTTTGCGTGGCTGGTGACCATGCTGACATCACCTCTGATAGGTAGGGCCGCAAGGCTGAGCTGGCGTGAGGTCTGAGGTCGCAGTCAGGCACCCGTTCGGGCTCACATGCCCACTAGCGACCCAGCCCGACGTTTCTGTTTCCATCATCCCGCCGTCATGCGCCGGCGTGTATACACACTACTCACTCATAGGCCATCAACAGTCAAGCTTGGAGAAGAATAATTTGAGAAAGACGATTATATTCTTTTTACCCGCCAATAATGCATGTCTACTATCATGATGCGTCAGTCATGGACGGGCCAGGCTGTTATGCCCCCAATTACCACATGTGTCCTATCTGTCTAGGAATGTGAGAATGCGTTGCCATCCCTCGTTACCAGTTACTACCAAAGTACTCCTTCCTTCCTCAAAAATCTATGTAAAAGCGCAAACAAAACATGAGCCAAATCTGCTCTAGTGCTCGAGCAGCCTGAGAGAACCCTGAACAACCACGTTCTCAAGGATGGAACCTGGGGGAATGTCGATGGTCGAGCCCTCGGTAGCGACAATGATGACGGTACCCTTGAAGGTAACACCACGACCAAGGTTGACGGGACCGGTAATGGTGAGATGGTCCAGCTCGACAATCTTGGGGATCGATGGGATGCGTGCTTGGAAGCTGGAAACCTTCTTGAAGTCGCTGCCAAGCTTGATCAGAGGAGCAGGGCCGAAGCGGTTGGGGTCAATGACCAGCTGGCCATGCTGAAGTGTGTAGAGATCAGACTTGACAAGCATGAGGTCAGAGCAAGTCTTGACGGGTAAGAACCGCCTTCGGGGAACGTTGACACCATGTGCGTTCTTGAAGTGCTTGATAGCGGCACCGACAGCAGTCTCGAGTTGGAGGACTGAGATGTCGGCCTCGCCCTTCTTGTCGGCAGGGATCGACTTGCCGTTGGGGATGATTTCCATGGCAAGCTCGTTAGCCTCAACAACACGCTTGATGGCCGCGAGGTTCATCCAGATGTTGTTGGTGTTGAAGTACTTGAACTTCTTGATCGACTTGAACTCATTGACGTGCTCCTTGGGAACCTGGGCAATTTCGAGCAGACGGACAGAGCCCTCGTAATCGATGATAGTACCACCCTTGACGTCGGCCTTGGTCTTGTCGGTCAACTCCATGATGTACTCGGCCTTGGAGTCAACCATGTGCTGGAGGATGCGGAGGTCGACAACGGCACCCAGGTTGTCGGCGTTGGAAAGGAAGATGTACTCGATACCGCGCTCGGTAAGCTTGTCAATCATACCTGTGTTGTACAGAGACTCGAAAACGTCACCGTGACCTGGGGGGTACCAGTTGGAGATATCTGAGTTGTACTCCTTGGGAGCGGGCAGGAGCGAGTCCTTGAGGATACGGGGGTACCTCGATTGGTTGAATGTGAGAATGTCAATGTTGTGGCCCTCGTACTTCTTGATGATGCTAGCAGTGTCCGTGTCGGTGTTGAACGAGTTCATGAGCACAAATGGCACGTTGACATCATATGTGCGGTTGAGGTACTCAATCTGGCGAACGGACAAGTCCAGGAAAGACATGCCGTCACGGACTTCAATGACTGACTTGGGGCCAACGCAACCCATCGAGGTACCGAGACCACCGTTGAGCTTGACGACAGCGAGCTTGTTCAGGTATTCAACACCCTCGGTGTTGGCAAGGTCATCGTAGTTGACAACCTGCTCAGCCTTTGGGGGTGCGATGCGGTTCCAGTCAATGGCAGTGCCCTTAGCCTTGTCATTGAGGTACCGGCGGAACAGCGCGAAGAAGTTGTCCATCTCCGTCTCGAAGTACTGCGACCGTCAGTATGTTGTGCTAATACGACCAAGTGTCCCTCTTCGATGTCCGCAGCGGATGATCATGACCATTTTCACGATTGTAGGCCATTGACCCTAGCGAGTGTGTTGTATGGTGCGAGCAGCATGCGGGGAATCGAAGAGAGGTATCGAGCAATTGAGACTGACCTTCTTCTCAGCGGGGTCGGTGACGGTATCGGCGAGCTTGTTCAGCGCATTACGCATTTGCGAGGCAGCGACATTGGTCGATGTGTTCTCGAATGCCTAGACAAGGGACTTGGGTCAGCAATTGGTAATTGAGATGGCAAAAGTAGGGATTGCATCGCTTGTGGGGTGAATGTTGCAAGACCGCCACTGCGAGGCCGCGGAGTATACACGCAGGCGGTGCGGGGCAGATGGTTCTGTGGAGCTGCAACTGGCGCCCTCTCAACATCGCCTGACAGCTCGAGAGAAAGGCTTGCCAGTGAGCTGTCATCCTTGCACAAGGTGGCAGGAAGCCGCCATAGACAGACGTCCGTCGGGGCCAGGCTCACCAGGCACAAGGTGCCAACTCAGTGCAGACTGAGAGTGGTGAAGACGAGGGGAACCAAGGCAATTGAGGCAATGGTGAAGAGAGAAAAGGGCAAAACCAAGGGGAAGATGGGCAGGCTGTACAGTGACAGCGGACGCGTGTACTTACCACATGGGACTGCGACTTGCCGTGGTGGCGCTGGGAGGAGAAGCCCTCGCCCTCAGCAGCAGAGGGCTTCAGGTGGGAGGGGATCGCGCGAGATGCCATTGTAATGTTGAAAAAGAGGTAAAGACTAGAAACAGAAGAGGAGTGTCGGGGACAGCTGTTGTTGGGGAGCTGGACTCCTTATAGACAAACGGGTCGAGCTTGGCGCTGGACGTGGGGCAAGGCGAGAACGGGCTCTGCCTGGTAGCAAGAAAAGGCTTGGGGGGGTAGAAGGCGAGTAGTGAAGAGACGGTGTGCATCTGGTTTTTTATACCTGCAGTCTACTATTGCCGCTCGGAGACAAGAAGGGCAGTTTTGAGCGTAGCATCTCTGCATGGCAACGGCGACGCCGCCAATGGATCCTGCCCACATGTCCAGCGCGCCATACCTCGTGTCCTCGTCTGCTGCTATCAATTGGGTTGCTCCCGCGCTGGACCTGCTCTGTTGTCTGCATAGAGGCTGCCGTTGTTTGTTTTGCCAGGCGTATGTACACTGCCTGCAAAGCACCACCACCACTCCCACTTGCTGTACCCACCTCGGCGCCCCCTTCACCGACGTCTCAGCACACCATTTGTGGCTCTGCCTGCCACCGGCCCCGGTTCGCGGCGCTGCTGGCTGCTATCCGGCCGTCTGTCCGAGTCAATGTCAACATCATCCATCGAATGAGCTTTGCGGCCGCCTATCTGTCCAACCTCACGATGCACAATTGTTGAATAATTTCCCTGGGAGCTATGTCGATAAACTGAAAAGCCCCTCATCTGGTCTCGGCGCTAGCAGGGGGGGCATGCACCCAACCTGACGTAGCCCGCGCGACCGCCTTTCCCATTGCTCCCCAACAATCTTCCCCGGCATGCGGGCAACGTCCCAATTTTCCTGGCCTGTGGCGAACGCGCGACATTGAGGCAAATGCCTTGCTATTCCTGGACAACCCGCTTTCTCGTCGACGGCTACCTGCCCAGTCTGGCTACCATGTACGCAGTCGCCTTCGGAAGACATTGTGCCTGCCCTACGCTCTACGCCGAGAGCATATCTACTACTACTTATCTACCACTACTCCAGGGGTAGACTACTTACTTAGAGTACCGCTGTGGTTGACGCCACTATGTACAGTCAACGCCGTCCCGAGTTCAGCTGTCGCTTAAAACACGTGGGGGATCTACTGCTAAGGTTGTGTATTGTAGGCTTACAGCAGCGATGCCCTTGCTTGACAGACGTGGACATCAACCACTCTTTCCGTCCTGCTACAAGCAACAACAACGACAACCCTCGTGGCGGTTAACTTTATGGATGTCAGCCTGCCGGCTCATCGGCAGTCGACACTGTACCCAGACCGAGGACTATCCAAACTCTAGAAGCCCTCACACCGTGTAAGACAGGGGGATAGATATTGGGTGGGGTCCAAATCGCCGCCGGACACGCTAGCGGAGCTTATCCACAGAGTATACTACTCGATTCAGGAACACACATGTTGATTTCTTCCCGTGGCTTGCGTCTCGCCAATATCTGCACCCGCCTCTACGGTCACAGCTATGTTCTAGTTCGCCATTACCAACCACATTCCATACTCTGTCAAACATGTTCTTGTCTCAATCCGAACGCACTGGTCGCATAATCTCCACAGCTGGCGCGTCGGCAAAAGGTACGGCGTGGGGCTTGCCAACTCGCAGCTTGATCCATGCGCCCTGATCCACATCTTGCGTGAAGAACTTCTGTCTAAGCTCTTCGACGAGCCACGCTAGTAGGCTCTCAATCGTCTGGAACGAGGACCCTGAGATCAGCTGCGACTGGTCAGTTAGCGTCCAGCGCTGAAGCCGAATATACTTACCTCAAACAACAGACTCTCTAGTTGCGGATAGTCGTCGACGCGGGAGTCAGCGATTCCATCTACCCAGATATTAACATCCACGGGCTGCTTTTGCAGTCTCTCATTCGCGTTGACCCCAATTAGGCAAGGAATGCGGACGTTGCGCAAATAAAGTACGCTCGAGCGTGTTCCAGACTTTTCAATACAAGAAGTCGTGTGGCCTGCCCCTTCGCCGAGCATGCTTCCCTTTTGGTAGCACACGTTCGTTTCGATAGCATATATTTCAGTTGAACCTGCAACATCGCGCACACATTGTGAAACTGCAGCTGAAAGCGCAGACGTGCTTGTCCAAGCCGATGTAGCATTCCCAAATTTTGCTTGAATCGCTTTGCTGAGTATACCATAATGGACGGTGCTATCATCGACGGAGTCTGTGGAAGAAGCTGAAGTGAATTGTTTGCCTAGGGTGAGGATGACACTGATAAAGGCCCTTTGCTTTTTCTCACGACCCCAAACATCTTTGCCAGAATTGACAACCACTTCCAGGTTCTGAACCATAATCTTATCGTAGTGCCCACTTTCCACGAGCTGCGCCTCCCATTGCGCCTGCCGCACTATTTGAGCCATGGTTTGTGGGTTACACCAGATTCTCGGACGAGGCAAAAGCTCTGATTGCGCTTTTTTGGCGTCCAAGGGTAAGATCAGGTGAAGAGCTTGTCATTATGTTAGTCACAGCTGTGCCGAAATCTCCTATACTCAGCAAGAAAGCCATTGCCTGGATATATAATAACGACTATGCGTCTGCCATCCAAACAGCGCAGATCCGAGCGGCATTGCAAGCCATTTTCCAGCAAGCCACAGCGCTAATGAAATCCAACACCAACTCGAACACCCTCTTGATTATTTCTTGCCAAGTGACGATATCATTGATCTAACGCTGAGGGCAGAAAAAGCACGCGTAAAAAGGGCTGAGAGATGTTGGTGTCACTTACAAGCTGGAGAGATGTCACGTCAGGCTGGATGGTGGGGTTGTGACAGGCGCCCTTTCAGCACTCAAGAAGCACGGACGTCTTTCCCGAGCTCCGCAATCGAACATTCTAGCTACACATCAAACTACAATAATTCAAAGCTGCTCCCTCAGATACTATACACAACAAGTAATTCGTAATTTCTGTGCAGGAACAGCTAGATTTTCACATCAACAACATGGCGGACGCACTAAAAGCAGAGGGCAACAAGCTCTTCGCCGAGAAGAAGTTCGCGGAGTCCATGTAAGTTCCCCGCAAACATGGTCCAGCCCACCATTTACTAACAAAGTATAGCGAGAAGTTCTCACAGGCCATCGAGCTCGACCCTACAAATCATGTCCTCTACTCGAACCGGTCGGGCGCATACGCATCTTTGAAAGACTGGAAAAAGGCACTCGAAGATGCAAACAAAGTTACAGAGATCAAGCCCGACTGGTCAAAAGGCTGGGGGCGAAAAGGAACTGCGCTACACGGCGAGGGTGATTTAGGTATGTGAAGCTTGTGACACCGGAGAATTCACTACTGACAGCAGATAGTTGGTGCATCAGACGCCTTTGACCAGGCACTCAAGCTCGATCCCAACAATGCCCAAGCCAAGTCGGGTCTGGAAGCCGTAAAACGTGCAATCGATGCCGAGGCCAGTGCTGATGGTGCAGGACTCGGTGGTATGTTCAGCGATCCAAACATGATCGCAAAGCTGGCAGCCAACCCCAAGACTGCGTCTCTGCTCGCTGATCCAGAATTTATGGGCAAGCTTCAGATGCTGCAAAAGAACCCAAACATGGCAGGCCAGTTTATGCAAGATCCCCGCTTCCTACAGGTCATGAGCGTACTGCTAGGTATTGACATGTCGTTCGGTCAGCCACCAGAAGCCGGAGGCGCAGGTGCAAGTGGTGCAGGTGGTCAAGACGCAAGGGTAGAGGAAGATGTCGAGATGCCCGATGCGCGCCCAGCACCTGAGCAGCCGAAGAAGGAGCCTGAGCCTGAGCCCGAACCCGAACCTGTCGAAGAGACTGAAGAAGAGAAAGCCGCGAAGCAGGCCAAGGCCGAAGCCGATGAACTGAAGAAGAAGGGCACAGAATTCTACAAGAAGCGACAGTTTGACGAGGCCATTGAGAACTACAACAAGGCATGGGAAACCCACAAGGACATTACATACAAAACCAACTTGGGAGCGGCCTATTTCGAAAAGGGTGATTACGAGTCCTGCATCAAGGCCTGTCAGGAGGCTGTTGAGTATGGTCGAGAAATCCTCGCAGACTTCAAGATCATTGCAAAGTAAGTCTTTCGCGAACAACTCACATGAGTATATCTAACACTTCATAGGGCATTTGCACGTATTGGTACCGCTTACGAGAGAATGGGCGATCTCAGCAACGCAATCCTCTACTACCAAAAGGCACAGACAGAGCACCGTACACCCGAGGTGCTTGCCAAGCTTCGCGCCGCCGAAAAGGCCAAGATCAAGGCAGAGAAGGAGTCATACATTAACCCAGAAGAGGCCGAGAAGGCACGCGAACTCGGCAATGCCAAATTCAAAGAGTCGGATTGGCCCGGTGCGGTTGAAGCGTACACGGAGATGATCAAGCGTGCCCCTGATGATCCAAGAGGATACTCTAACCGTGCCGCTTGCTTCATCAAATTGCTCGAGTTCCCATCTGCCATTCAAGACTGCGACGAGGCTATCAAGCGCGACCCCGACTTTATCCGAGCGTACCTGCGCAAGGCCCAAGCATACTTTACCATGCGCGAGTACAACAAGTGCGTTAACACGTGCACTGAAGCCATGGAGCACGACAAGGAGGGCAAGCACACACGGGAGATTCAGCAACAAGAAGCCAAGGCATTGCAGGCACAGTATGCTGCCCGCGAGGGTGAGACTGAGCAGGAGACTATGGAGCGTATCCAGCGAGATCCAGAGGTGAGTTTTGAGATAAATTAGTGTTTGTTACTTTTTTTTACTAACGAACCTATAGATTGTCGGTATCCTGCAAGACCCGATTATGCAAGCCATCTTGCAGCAAGCAAAGGAAGATCCCGCGGCGCTGCAGGAGCACTTGAAGAATCCCGAGATTCGATCCAAGATCCAGAAGCTTGTGCATGCTGGTGTGATTCGCATGGGACGGTAAAAAAAAGCGGTTCGGTTTTTTTTACGCCATGACATGAATGCTTTTTTCTCCCTCATGAACAGGATCTTAGATGGCAACATACTGGGGAGGTTTCAAACAGCCGATTGAAATGTCTATTGTTTCGACTCCAAGCCCTGAGATTTGTATATTTATATGGATCTTATCCTTCTTTTCTCTTCTTCGTTTCTTCTTTTTTTGTCTGCATAGCGATTAAGGTAATGAAAAAAATAATTAAACAGCCGTGACAACTTTTTCTTCCTGTTTCCATGTTTAGATGTGTATTGTGCCAGTATGCTCATGCTGACTTGAAGTTTCACACTCCAACCTTTCTAACCCGACAAAAGAACAACAATGTAAAACATGTTTATTATCTTTCTTTCCTACTCTTCTCGCTGCTAACTAAACACCACTAATAAAATCCAACAACCGCAACAAGGCCCCATTCTCAACCCTACACCCCTCCCCTTCCCTCTGCGCCCGCCGCAACCCCTGCGCCAACCACACCCGAATCGACTGCGGATCCAGATTCCTAAAGTTTTGCTGCCGAATCAATACGTACGCTTGTGCGCAGAGCGTAGTACTTTCCGTTGGAGAAGGCGGGGGCCGCGTTTTACAGGTTGTGCATTCGGGGTCGGAGGGGGATGTGGGTTGGGGAGTTGTGGTGGTTGGGGGGTCGGAGCAGCAGGGTGGGGGTCCGGCGGTTGGGGTTGGGGTTGGGGTTGGGTCGGCGAGGGAGAGGGGTGCTGGGGTGTCTGGGAGGGCGAGGGTGAGGGATATGTCGGCAAGGGGGGAGAGGAAGTAGGTTGAGTCTGTGGTGGGCGTGGTGGTGGTGGTGTCGGTGTCGGTGAAGAAGGGTAGGTCGGAGATTTGGGATATATCCGGGTAGACGATGTCGTGCTGAGATGTTAGATTACTGTTGCTGGTATTGATGTTGTCGTTTTGTGCCGGGATGAGGAATAGTGCGGTTTGGTTTTGAGTCGATAGTGGTGGCGTGATGGATATCATGTCTTTTTCTAATATTCCACTTTCCATGTTTCCATCGCCGTATGCGTCTCTTTCTGCGGCTTGTTGTCGGAGTAAGGCGATTTCTGCTCTTGCTTCTACTAGTAGTCTTTCTGTCTCGGCCAGCTTGAGTTCCAGTGAAGCGACGTGGTCGCGTTGGCGGGCACGGTGTCGTCGTTGGTTTTCTCGCACGCGGTTTAGGGTGTGTTCTGCGGATACGCGGGCGCGCTTGGTTCGTGGTGCGCTCGCTCCTGTGTTTGTGTCTGAGGATGAAGGAGATGCTGAAGAAGAAAAAGACATCGGGGAATAGGCTGGTGGTGTTTGGTAAGACATGATGGCGTTTGATGTTTTTCCTTCTTTTTTTCTGTGAAGGGTGTGTACACTGGGTACAGTTACGTGACAAAGTTTGGAGTGGCTTCGTCTTCTATATAAATGTGAGTTACAGAGTAAGGTTTTGTGGGTTTAAAGTGTAGGGCACTCAAAGAGGGTAGGGATGAGGCGTTGAGTGTAAGAGCTTGGCGATAACATATCGATGAGGCCGTTAGTTGATTGGCTGAAAAGCAAAGGCGAAACGACGTCTAGCCCTGGGGATTAGCTCCACTGCAACGGTGTGTTCGTCAACGTCTTCTTCTCTTGCGTGCACTGCTTGGCAAAGCTTAACTCCTGGTCGTCTTTCTTCTCGAAAATTGTCATCGTGATTGATTTCGTGCAGCATGCGATGTCATTGAGATCACGTGCTGTGCTACTACATTGGGTGAAACAATCAGGCCTGTCACGGTCCCTACGCTAGACCACGCAAGAAGAGTTTCATCCTGTGATCCATCCACTCAGTATCCTTTTTATTGGCTCCACCACCCGCAATATGACCCCAGATGCTGGGAATGACCTCGACAAGACCGTTTTGCAGGCTCTCGACCTCCCTGTGGCTTACATATGGCCTGAAATACTGATCCATTTCGCATGGCATAAGGAGGACTTTTGCTTTGATGCTCTTTAGTGCCGCCTCGAGATCCCCATCTTTGGTGCAGCGAGCAACATCACCCCGTTGCCACATGCCTAACATGGCCAGCAGATCGTCGGCGGCCCAGCCTTCGTAGCCCTGGATAGTGGTGACATCATCCCAGTCGCGCAGTTGCTGGAAGCCCATTTCCTTGTAGCATTCCTTGTCGAACCATTCTGCACTCGTTAACCAAGCCGAGTAGGCTTTACCAAAGGCTCTGATGCCTCTTGCCGGACTTGCAGCATGTTCCAACGCCGCCTTTGGGCCTTCGAGAAATTGGTAGTTGTGTCTGCTTGTCTTGGCTGAGGAGCAGATGATGACTGCATGCTTGATAAAGTCGGGATGTGAAACTAGCCAATGGTAGGTGATTTGGCCGCCCATGGAGAACCCCAACATTACATCGACGTCTTTGATACCGAGCTCCTCAGTCAGGAGAGGATATTGAGCATTGATGCAGTCCATGTATTCAATTTGGGAGGGAAAGTTTGGAGTGTTTGAAGGACTGGAGGATTCGCCATTGCCAAGGAGGGCGATGAGGATAATCTTGTGGTTCTTCAAGGCGCCGTCTGCGTATGTTGGGGTGGTGTTGAGGCGGCCCTTGAAACAGGTGTGGACGACTGCAATCTTGGAGTTGTGTGGATTGAGGATCTTGTAGGCTAGTTTGAGCTTGGGTAGTGTGGAAGCATTGTGGAAGGTGAAATCCGAGACCTCATAAGTCTGGAGGGGCTCCGAGGTGGTCTGAGAAGACATTGGTACGCGTGTTGTTGGGGACAGGAATGACAGACTATGGGGGCGGGTGTATTTGGCGGGGAAGAACGACGGAGGGGTAATATGTTTCGGAGGTTATGACGATAGTATGGGTCTCCGTTCCGTCATGGTTAGGTGGAGCCCCACTTGCGGCTCCAGGAAGTGCCAAGTCGAAGCTTCATTCAACATTGTACATATGAGTGTTGATGGATAAGTTGCTCGTCATGAGAAGCGTGCCGGTGTGAACTGCTATGTATGTATGTACACGGCCAAGAAAGCTTTACATGATCTATACGGAGATGACAGGGGTCATGATCTCACGGAGGGGCGCGTGCGGTGTACATTTTTAGACTCTTGTGTGTGTGTCTGTCCATGTGGAATGATGGCTGACGGAATCGGGCCAGCCATTCTTAGTTTCGTGGCCCGGTCAGATTAAACTCTATGTTTGCGACGCGTGTTGGAGTGACATGGTTAAGGTTGAGATGAGGATGAGGATGATGATGATGATCGGTGGAGGCTCGCGTGTGGCTAGGGAGCTGGTGGGGCAAGTGTGGCATGAGGATTGCAATGGCAATCTCCTTTGGCAGCATGTCCTACTGTTTGTGGCTGGCACATGGTGTGTAAAGGCAGGAGGAACGTCTTGGCAGGGTGTGGTTGGTACGGCAAATGTCGAGTAGGGAGGCCCATCGTCATATCGCTTACTTAGTGCTGAGGCCGATATGGCTCCTCTCCGGGCGCTAACAGCCTGAGGCACAGTAAGCACCTTGTTCCCATCTCACATCGCGGTAGGACCCCTGGCCGCCACGGCTCGACGTGTTGGAGATAGACACTATGCAGCCGGTAGGGCAGTGTGCGAGCATACTTGCTGTGGAGTGATTGTGTTCATGGGGCTGACGTCGACTACGGTGGATTGGCGTAAGCTTGCATGGACTTGGCCGCAGGTTTGGCATTGCCCACGGCCCATTTTCACAAAAAGCTAACGTCAAAGGAGGAGCGGACAAGGGGCCACGGCAGCCGACAGGCGAGGTTAGAAGGTGATGATCCTTGTCGCCGCCTTATCACTTCACGCTGGTGGAGCGGATGCTGTCATGTTTCGGGCATAGACGGCTGTGTGGTGTTCCAATTTTGGGACGCTGGACTAAGTGTGTAAGTAAGTAAATTGTAGTCGCTGTGACAGGAGAGGCACACATACTTTCCACGCATGAGGCTTTTTTGTATCGTTGGCGTCGCCGCTGCCGCCGTCGCTGACAGGCAAAAGAGGCTGGCAGACGCTCAGTGTAGCAGCTGTCAAGACGTGTGAAACAGCTGCCATGACCGTCATGGCGCCGGGGCCGCCGTCTTCACAAAGCCAGAGCCCGACAAAATGCGTGCTGACCGGCAAGCCGAGGGTCTCGTATTGTGGGCGCAAGCATATCCACACTGGCGATGTGGTACCACAACAGCAGCAGGCTGCACTGGGGCTGCCACGCGCAAGCTGGCCGGATCGAGTGCAGGCAGTGGAGGCATGGGCATGCGCAATCTCGCTCGGGCGCATTTGCGAGGGCGTTTGGAATGGCAGAGCCAACACGGGCGTGCAATTAGCGTGCACCCTGGCCAATTTGGCCCTGTCGTCTAGCTGCATGTACCCTCTCCGCAACGACGAACGGCTACGCTACTAGGCTGCTGCTACCCTCGCATGGCCCTGCAGCCTGATCTCCTCGTCTCGTGTCGCCGTCCTTTCTTCTCCCCGTCTTTCACTCTCACTCTCACTCTCACTCTCTCTTGTCTTTCTTTTTTTCCTTGCTTCCTTCTTGCACACCCGTTGCTTCTGTTCACATGCATTGCAAGAAGCGCTCTGGCAACTGCATGTGCGAGTGAAGCCGTTTCATATGCTTGGGCCCTGTTAGAGAAGCCCCATCCATCTCCTCCGCCAATCCACCGCCCGCCCCCGCTGCCGCTGCCGCCAATTGAGCCCTGGACGGGACGTCGAAGCCACCTCACTGCTTCGCTGCCCTTGTAACCACGCACGCGACCACATTGCTCTTCCACAAACGCCCTCCACTACGCCTTGCCGGCCCTGTGCCACTATTCCCCCACCTCTGACCACCACCACCACCACCTTCTCCACCTCCACCTCCACCGCTCCGAGTCGCGCCTACACACAGCACCATGGTGGACGCACACGAACCCGCCAGTAAGCTCTTCTCCAAGAGCCGCTGGAAGACCAAGATCCTCGACAAGACCAGCGAGCTCGCCGCCGCCAACGCGAAGAACAAGCCCGTTGACAACAAGGTTGACAATGACGACCTTAGCGCCTTCCTCAAGCCCTCAACAGACCGTGCCGCCCAGCAGCTACAACAACAAGAGGCTGCCGCTGCTGCAGCTGCCGCCTTCCTCAACCGCCCCCGCATAGATGTTGCCAGTGCCCAGCGGTGGCCTGGTGCCCAAACCATTCTCAACAGTGCAGCAGCAAAGAGCCCAGGTCCGGGAGGCTTGAAGTCGGGCACGCGCAAGAAGGGCCTCACCGTAGCTTTTGTGCGCACTGTCCCGGACGTCATAGGCCACGGCGGCGACGAGTGTGAGGACCCCGCCATCGAAGTGGCTAAGAACAAGAAGCCCGTGAATGTGCCCGCAGTGGAGCAATTGCCCCCCGAGGTGCCGCAGGACGACACCATCCCCAGCCCCCGCCTCAATGGCATTGGCCGCGCCCCTTCACAGACTGAGTACAGGTCACATGCCCAGACAGAGTACAAGACAAACCTCACCAGGACACGCACAAACCCCGGCGAGCTGTCCCCTCCTCTGAACCAGAAGATGCAGCTCGGCCAAATCACCACCACCGCACAGCTCCCCCCCACCCCGCCGCGCCACTTGGGCCCCATGGGTCTCGGCGAACGTCCCAAGGGCCTCTCTCGTGCGCCAACGGGCTTCGACTCCATGATAGAACCTGGAATGCACCAACCCATGAGGCGGTTGAGCGAAGACTCGGTCTACTCGCAAGATTCAGACAACCTCTCGCCTGTCGTATCCAAAACAATGTCTGCACGCGAACCCACGATTCAAGAGGAGGAGGATGATTTCCGACCAAAGTCGCTCAAACGCAGCCAGACTGGCTTCAGCACCGTGGGTGAGCAACTCAATGACGAGCCCGCACATCCTGTACCCACAGTTCCGCAAATGCCCGACCTTCATGGAACCGGACATGAAGATGACGCGCATGCTTCTTTTGCAGCAAGAGTCAAGCAAAAAATGCGTTCAGAGGAGGGTAGGACCTTACACGAGGCCGCGCAGCGTGCAGCATCAGGCGAACGGCGGGATTCAGAAGAGAGCTCACAGCGCTCGGTTCCAGGGACGCCCCTCAGCAACTCACAGATGGACTCGAGGACATCACCACGCAGAGGGCTTGATACTGACGACCCTCAACGATCAAGAGCCCGTGGACCATCTCCCGGACAGAGGCCAATGGCATACCCACGCGATATGGACACGCGCGTACCATCATCAGGTTCACCGCAGTATACACCTTCTGTCGCTTCACAAACCCCCGCCTCACCCCTTTCTCGATCCGATCCTTTCTCCAACCCATCTATGCAACGAGCAGCCTCGACCGCCGACAGGCCCCATCCCCAAGCGTTTGATGAAATGCCTCGTGTCTCCAGCCCGCCTCAACCTTTGGCAGGGATATCAACTTTTCAACAACAGTCCTCGCCACCGTCCTCGATACCTGCAGCGCTTGCAATGCCGTCAGGGCCACCAGGTGCTCAAATGGCATCACGCAGTGCTTCTGGAGCCACAAAGCCTGCTACCTCACTCGGTCGCTCTGACACACAATCTGCGAACGAGCTGGCATATCGCGACTTTGCTGAGCGCATAACCCACATGAGAGGCATCTTTGAACTAACAGCCCAGCTTGGCGGCAACATCTACAATCATACTCCTATGCAATGGCTCCGGGTCGCCACTTGGTGGTTTTTGAAAGGACGTACTGGAATGGAAAATCTTATTAGGAGCCAACACAAGTCCGCCGACCCACCACAGGAGCGGCTCGCCCAGCCTCACGTCGATTTGGCCAAGGTGTGGTGGATCATAACTAAAGTCCTGCCAAACCACCCTGGCCTGCAAAAGTACGGCGATGGATCTCCCGACGCTCAAGTCGAACTCGCTCGACAGGCAGGTGATGCTGCGGGCGCAGAGGTTTATGACATCCAGAATGCCATTGGCCATTACATGAAGTTGCTGGTCGGATCGATGAAGAAGCACCATAGCATGCCTCCTACGCAGGCCCTCATCCAGGGCCAGGACCAGGCGATATGGGAAGAATACCCATCATTTGCTCCCGATGCCGCCACTGTACTCAGCTCGGGGCTCGCCGGCCAGCCGGGCGGTCAGCAACAGGTCAGCCTTTCGCAGTACATTCCTCTTTCCGACACCAAGACCGAATTTTGCTACTTCCGCATGTTTGTCAAAGCTTCGTTATCGACCGATGACCCCGCCACTGATCGCGTGCCAATGAATGTCGTCTTGTCCGTTTTGCGACCCAAGGAGGAATACTCGGCCAAGCTCGCCATTTGTAGTCAAAACAGTCTAATCAATATCCTGGTTGGTCCGGGCTCAGCCATCACATGGAGAGACGTCAACTGGAAACAACAAATGAACCAGATTACTGTACAGCTACGGCACGGATTTCTTCTTACGCTTGCCCTGCATGAAGCGGATTTCCGTAGTCTATGGTCGATTGTCAGTCACACGAGCCGGGTAGAGTCGGATCTGCGAGAGCGAAGAGACGAACGATTTGCCTGCAAAATGTACCTCCGCGAAGCCACATACAAGGACCCAGCGAACCCATCCATGTTCTCCCAAGAACGAATACCAGGCTGTAGGCTACTAGTGTTCCAGAGGATTGAACTTAGCAGCGAAGGTACTGGAAAGCGGAAACTGCATCGAGGTTACCGAATGGTACTGGTCACGCCGCAGCAGCACAAACAAGTCAGCTTGGTCAATCATGAGCTTGGAACCAAACAGGA